CCAAAGCAACTACCTGATCGCAGTAATAAACGAACCATCAGCTACGACGATCACGGTGATCATGACGATACTAATAAGGATAGCGGCGGTCGCGGAACATCCGAGTCTCAAGCCCCCCAAGCCCCCATTCATCCATTCATTCATCCATTCCCCTTTCCCCTTTCCTAAAGCAAAGTAAAGCATCCCCAAGGGCGAATGTAGAGAGGAGGAAAGGGAGAAGCAATGATTTTCTTCTTCCGCATTCGTTAGATTCTCCCCTTTGGGTCTCATGTCTCTCTTTGGGTGCTACTATTTCTGGGGCCGCGGGGAAGGTGGAAAGTGGAGCGATCCTGCGATCGAGCGAGGCGGAGCCATCTCCTTTTCCTTGTACGGTACTGTTACCGGTACCTACAGAGGACTCGATATTGTGCAGGTACTACGTATAGTACATAGTAGTATCTACAACTATTAGATCTCCTACATACGGGGAATTTCCTCCCGTCTCCCCGCGCCCCGAGTGCGATTCGCATATCCTTCTGCTAGCAGTATACTACGTACCGTAAGTAGTAGTAGTACTTATCAAATATGCATTTTGATCACGCATGCGCCGGCGGAGCCCACCTCCGACACAGAGATTCCCTACATACATACTACGTACGTAGTAAGTAAGTAAATAAAAGTGCATACCATACCATACCATACCGTCCCGTCTCATCCCATCCCATCCCCTCCGGCCCCGGGGGAACTGCCCTCGTCTTCCGCCCATCTCCACTTTATGGGTCTCGACTCTCGATCTCGGTCTCGATTCCAAAGTGCATCATCAACGTACTATGTACTATGTACGTACCTAGCTAGCTGGCACTGCATAACCGCGGAGCTACCACGGTACAGGCCTAAGTATTACCCCTCGAGGGTGCCTTAAAAGTTTAGTTTCCACTTTAAACCCCCTGTTTTCCCTACCCTCGAGGGGTAATACTTACGCCTGCGACGTAGTATCTCCTACATACCATACCCTCCCATACCATAGCGCACCAGCGATTTTGCTTCTTCCGCACTCCACAATCTTCACCGAATAAAACCCATTCCGCTTACCAAGTCTCAGTCCATCGTCCACCTAGCATTAAACCCAACAAGCCAGTCAGTCGTACAGTATAACAAAATATCAACCATCTGTTGAGTCAACCTCCAGTACTGTAGAACCAAACTAGCAGAGCCTTCCCCGGCGGGTGTCGTCCGTCCGTCAATCCATATTTGTCCCCCCCCCCAACCCATATCCCAAACATCTATCCATCCATCCCATCTACTACTATTTATATACCCCTCCCCCCCCCACGACCCACCTCCCCACGCCGATCACCATCAGCACCCGATCAACATTTCTCACACCAAGATGAGATGTGTCTCGATACGCAGTCCTCTCTCTACAGTAGGTACGTACTGTACTTGACCAGCTCCAGGACACACCAGCTGCTCAAAATCATATCCCGCCTGCTCTAATTACCTCTCTGCCGACTCTTCTTCGCGCGAGGGGATTGGCCGCGCGAACTCCGTCCCCTATATCCATACACACATATGTACACACACACATAGACACGTAAACATAAATATAAATATAAACACAAACACAAACCCAAATAAGAATTCCCCCCCCCTTCTGTCTGTCTGTCTGAAAGCCAAACTCCCCCCTCCCTCTCTAAAAAAAACCCCTAAAAAAAAGAACAAGAAGAAAGAATATCGAAACGGCAAACTCAGAAGTATAAAAATGGGTGATGAAATTAGAACAGATTTAAGGAGTAGAGAGAGGGGGGGGGGGCGAAGACGCCACAGCCGCTCCTGTACTGTACTTACGGTACCGGTACTAGTAGTACTTACTGCAAGTACGGTAGGTAGCTTTTTTCGCTTTTCCCTTTTCCGCTAATCGTGCGAGCAAAGCTACCGGTACCCCTCCCCATCCCATCCCCCCCCCGTGGGGGAGGACCCGCAGCTGGCTACTGCGGGTAGCGATCTGCGATCTGCGGTCTGCGGTCTGCGGTCTGCGGTCTGCGGTCTGGCAGACGGGTGGGTTACGGTACGGGAGTTCATCGGACTGTTTAAGCAGCAGCCTGATGAGAGTTGTACTACAGTAAAGAGGGCGAGTTTTGAGAATGAGGGAAGGGGGAGGGGTTTTTTTTTTTTTTTTTTTTTTTGGATGGGGGGAGATTGTTTGTTTGTTTGTTTGGTGGTGGAGAGGGTAGGGTAGGGTAGGGTAGGGTAGGGTAGGGTGCGGGACTGTGCTGTGCTGTGCTGCACGGTGAGTATGGGAGGGAGGGCTTACTTCATCTTTACGTAGGTGTGTGTACCTTGGGTATAGGTATGTGAGAGTGAAAGATTGTAGAGAGAGAGGGGGTTTGTCGTTGTGAGAAGGATGATTTATATATATATATATATATATATATATGCAAATGTAGTTTGTACAATTACCTACCTTTTTTTATTTCATTCCTCCCTTTTCCTACCCTCTCTCTCCTCTTGACCTCTTCTTCTCTTGGTTAGGCAAGGGCTCCTCTCTCTCTCTGGCTTAATACTGTACTACGTCGCAGGCGTAAGTATTACCCCTCGAGGGTAGGGAAAACAGGGGGTTTAAAGTGGAAGCTAAACTTGTAAGGCACCCTCGAGGGGTAATACTTAGGCCTGTACCGTGGGTATGTATATATACCTATGTATATATTATACTTTTTGCATTTTGCATCCTGCGCCGTCATATGAAAAAAAAAAACAGCTCAGTCGATCCGTCCTGCACATAGGTAGTAGAGAGGGTCTCGCCGGCACCGATCCCGCTATGAACGTAATCAGCGTGGGGGATTAGCACATACATACATGCGTACATACATACATACTTACTACGTACATACTTACATACTTACATACTTACATACGTGCGTACGTACGTACGTACGTACGTACGTGGGTGTATATACGAACGGGGCGATCGGGTCTGACTGTCCGACTCCCCTGATTAAGGGAGTGACGATTTGGGATGCTGGAAGCGAGCGAGCTGAGAGCTGAGAACTGAGAGCTGAGAGCTGACAGCTGAGAAAGAGAGAGAGAGAGAGAGAGAGAGAAAGGAAGGAAGGGTTGGAGTCGTGCTTATTGAGATCGCTATCATGTGCATATGTATACAGGCGTATTTGTATGATGCGCTTCCGTCCCCCTTCTCCCCTTCGAGTGGAATCAAATAAGCAAACGCAAAGGGGGTCTTCCTGAGCTACGGAGTGGGAGCTGTAGATTGTATCTGTAGAGAGAGGCTCGGTGGAGCGAGTGTCGCATATATGTATGTATGTATTTAAGTATTTATGTATGTACCTATGTATACCTCATACCTAGCTAGGAACAGAGTAAGTACGGTACTTCTTCGTACGGAGGGAGGTATGGATCGATAGATAGATGACTAGCAGTAGACGCCGATGCAATAGGTAGTCGTCTCGGTAACCAGATGGTGGTAGTTCGGGGTTCAGTCGTTCATGCATTGCTTCGTGTATGTATTCATGCCTTTATCCATCCCGTTTCCTACTATTGATTCCCACTGCTACCTATGTACTGTACTACCTTCTTCAACTGTCAATTGTCACAAGCCCCCCTCCCACCCCGGCCGTCGTGTTCCCTTGGGCTGCACGCTCGATTCCTCCGTACGACCTAGGTACCGGTATTCCAGGCCTGCACTCGACCTCGCACATAAACCTCGTACCTGACACCTGCTTCCTGAATTCCGGACTCGGGAATCCCGGACCGTGGACACCTTGGAATTCCCGGACTGTGGAATTCCAATGGGCTCGACCCGGCTCGAATGGACGAGTGGATGGATGAGACCCAAGTAAGGTCTCGAAGCGAGGCGATGTACAACTAACTAGCTTCGCTCCTCCATCGGCATCCTGTCATCCAGACAGTCATTCTGAAAAGAAAAGAAAAGAAATGGAAAATGAAAATGAAAAATGAAAGCGAAAAATGAAAAATGGATTAGGGGCCGTCCATCTCTGTCCTCGCTCGCTCGCTCGTGCGCGAGGACGTGGGAATGCTCGTTCTCCCGCGCTTCTGTTTACTTTGTGCTATTTCTAGATACGTACGTACGTACCGGTAGTTCGTCCTCCCCTCCTCCCCCTCCCCCTTCTTTAGTTGGGTTTGGTGGACGAGAAGGCTGCGCGCGGGTCTCTCGTCCTCTCGTCCCGAGCCTCGGATGCTTTAGATCGCCTGTTACTTACCTACTTAGTAGTATGTCACTGACTGGAGCCACCGGAAGTTCCCCACATGAAAGGGAGAAGGGGGGGGGGGGGGAGGGAGGCGGAGATGAGACAGTACAGTACAGTACGGAGAACCTGGCTCGGTAAATAGTACTACTCGGAGTAGTAGTGATGATATTACTACTGCTACTACTACGACTACTAGGACTAACTACGACTACTACTGAGATGGAACGAAAACTATGATTGTCGTCCGTTCTCCGGAGATGCCCCCTCATCCACACGCGGAGCGGCGGGGTGGTGAATCAGATCACGCACGACGCTTTCGCATTCTTTGCGGGGGCTCAGACAAGAGGACGTCGGTGAAAATGGTCACGTTGTGGACATTCACTCACTCGTCGACGTCGCTGACATGGTCCGGATACAGAGGGTAATTTAAATCGAATCGATTCGATTCGACAAGGCAGGGCGGACCACGGTGTCCCATTATTCAGTACGGATTGGCATCCAGCGGCAGATCGTCCATTGGGCAGATGCGGATAGATGGGATATACTACTACAGTACAGTACTATACTACAACGTACTTACTAGCTGGGTTGCTGCTGGGTTACTGGGTTGCTGGGTTGCTGGGTTAGGGGATTCCCTTTCTATCGATCCGGTTGGCGTTGGGTGGGCCATGGCATGGGCATGGCATGGGCGTGGGCATGGGCCATGGACCATGGCTCCATGGCTCCATGGCTCCATGGCTCCATGACAACAATCGAACGCGATGAGGACAACGAAGACGAGAGGGCTGCTGGCTGGCGTTATTCTGCCCTGACCAGCCAGCCAAAAGGAGTCGTTCCAAAGAGTCGTTCAGAGAATCGTTCCAAAGAGTCGTTCCAAAGAATCGGGTGGGCTTGCTGAGATGATCTTGGGGGAAGCGGGCTGTGACCGGGAATGGAAACATGGGTGTTGCAGCTGGGGGCTTTTCCCGTAAAGTCTATATACCAACTACTGGAAATAGTTGTACTGGAAGTAGTTGTACTGGAAGTAGTTGGTTGTACTGGAAGTAGTTGTACTGTAACTAGTTGTACTGTAAGTAGTTGTACATACAGCACTGTAAGTAGGCACCTAAGTACGGACGATTTGATATACACTGTAGTAATATGTTGCCCAAACGGGCTATAGCTGTTCATCGCACTGTAGTTCTGATTTCTACTTGGGGTAAGTACCAAGTACTAGTGTACTACCGCTGCTGTTTGGTCTATCTTAGTAGTATGTACTATGTACTTACCCCTTGAGGCAGCTTTCCCTCCACTCGGAATATCCGCCGTTCGGGATATGGCAGGCAGGGAAGCGGGCGGATTGTTTGGAATTGTTGACCGCTTGAACTTGAACTGTGTAGGCGGAGCAGGCAGAGGTCTTCGGCAAATGACACCCACCGCACCAGGCTTTCGGCGTTTGTAATTGTAGTAGTAGTAGTAGTAGTAGGTATACCGTAGTTGTAGCTGTAGGCCGGTCATTTCTGCCATGAGAGATTGAGCGGGATCTACCCTACTGTATGTACTCTCTCGGTCCGGAGAAGAGAGTATCTGCTGGCGAGAAGAGTCAGTGAGCGCTGTCCTGCCCGCCCACGCTGTCCATGCGGCCCTCTCGTATCGACGGCATTGGCTTTTCCCCAGAGTCACGCAACTGATCAAATGGTCAAGACGAACGCAAGATTCAGCAGCATTGGCACGTGCGGGAAGAAGGTGGAGGAGGAGGAGGAGGAGGGATATCAAAGAGTTAACTTGACGTGATACTACTACTTGTCGCACATTTCATTTCATGTCATGACCTTTGTTTTGATGCGAGCCGAAGGATGGGATGGATGGATGGATCATGGATGGGCAAACAGATGTCGGGAAAATCCAGCACGTGCAAGCGAAGAGAGAATTTTTTCGGGGCACCTGATGTGCAATCAATGGTCTACCAGTATTGTCTTTTACAACTATGTACTATACTTATACTGCTGTATCAAATATCGAACCGAAAGAATACTTGGATCCTTGAATTTCCCATAGTACAAGTATCTGGAGTATTAGTAGTATTAGTAGTATTAGTAATACTAATATTTGTCGGATTTTCAGAGTCTCAGTCTCTCCCTCGGCCGTCTCATCTCTGCCCCCATCATATCCATCTCATCCGACCTCGACCCCGACACCGACCCCGACCCCGACCCCCTGACTCCCCTAACCCTTCTGACCCCGACCCCCATCTTCTTCTTTACAGATACGGATCCCCGAGCAAGACCCCTGCGGTCCCGATCACACGCAAGGGGGAGTGTCCCGATGCGGCAACACCAGCCATTACCCCTTTCCCCCTAGCCACCCGCCGAGACACTGCCCGATCTGGACTACGGCGCATTGGTCCCGCCGCTGGCGTCGGGCCCTTTTTGCAACACAACACAAATGCAGAGGATCCACTCTCCGCGCTATTTGGGTCGGTTCCCGGTCCCGCAGTCTAGGCCACACGAACATGGAGCAGGGCAGGGCAGGGCAGGGCAGGGCAGGGCAGGACAAGACAGGACAGGACAGGGCATCAAATCGACATCCACATAAGTCAGGACTTGTCCCTTCCGCGCCATAGACATATCTAACCTCACCCACACATTCACATCCTCATCCAACATCAACAACAACAACAACAACAACAACAACAACAACAACAACAACAACAACAACAACAACAACGATAACAACACCGCCACCTCCACATCCCGCGATATCCTCTCTCTCGTCCCTCAGTCCCATTCCCCCCTCCCCCGCCTTCTCTCCCCGACGGCCTTTATCTTCAGTCGCCGTTTGCGTTGAATGCATGTCCTAGCCGCTATCGATACCGATACCGATACCGATACGAGACGCCCGTTAAAACGAACCCAAACACTCTTCCAGAGTCCCCTTCCCCTCCAACCCACGCAGCCGTCAACTGCTACACCGTTCGACCTCGCTCCCACTACGATTCCCACGGTGCTCGGCGAGTCGATCGCGAGCGTTCTGCTGCAGTCGTGTTAAAATCATACCCGCCGCTCGCGACGAGCAAACCCTAATCAATACAATGCCTTCAAGACTGGATACACCCGTCTTGACCGTCGACGTGGGCCTTATCCACAAGGTCGACACGCGAAATGTGGAAAACCTCTTTAGCATGTGGACAGGTGAGCACTCCCCCTACAACGTGGCCGAGAAATCGAGACTGACGCGTTTACCTTAGTCTTCTCACGATGCGCGGGCTCGTTAGAAGAAGGACGACGATTAGAGAACCTGAGCTGGAGACTATGGAACAGAGAGACGTTCTGCTGCGATCCCGTATCCGAGGCCAACTCCACAACCCCCGCCATCTCCATCGCGTCGAGAATCTCAGAAGGTCGGTACTCTAGCGAAGTACCAAGTCTGTCTGGGAGTCTCGACTCACTTAATGACGACGAAGTCCTAGAGTTCGAGTCTGATAGCTCTTCATCGTCGGATCCGGTCGAGATCCACCCGGGAACCATACGCCACCACGACCTGCCCAGTCGCAGCCGTGGTCGCGAACGCCACATCACGCCTGATGATCTCGAGAAGATGGTCATCACCATCAAGGAGAAGAAGGACCTCGAACCACTTTCCCCCATCCACACCTACCTCCCACCCCCGGCGATGGAGCTCCCCGAAGCCGCACAGGTCGCCACCCCTCGGATAGTCGAACCGATAGATCTTTCCGTAACCTCGGACGCTGCCTCCGAACAATCGGCACCGCCGTCACAGGACTTGAGCACAGCCTCCGAGAGGAGCGCCACGAGCGTTGTGAAAGGTTTCTCGCCCGCGCATGTCAGCTCATCGTACCGATCCATCCCTCTTCTAACCGCCCCGTCGTCCCTTCCCACGACCGACTTGGCCAACGCCCCGGCGTCCAGAGGCCCTCAACCCAAGAAGCAGGCCATGTTCGCCATTGGCGCATCATCCGGTGAAGACTCCCTCAGCGAAGAAGCCCATTCGTTGGAGAATAAACTCAAGCCTACGACCGCCCCTACACAACAGAAGAAGAAGGCCAAGTTCAGCTTCGGAGGCTCATCTAATGAAGATGAGAGCTCCTTGCCACAGAACATGGCGAAGGCGCAGAAAGCCGAGAGCCGACCCCCCATGAAGAAGGTCACGTCCTTCCAGGAGGAGGTTGCCTCTCGCACCATCAACGAAGAGTCACCGTTTGAGGATGACGTCTTCGAGAGCGAAGAGGATGAAATTGACGAGAGTGCCATTGACGATGACGACGACTCGTCGGATTGGGAGGACTCGGTGGAGGACAGCGGAAATGCGAGCATCGACGAGAAGACCTTCTTCCAGCGGGTGGACTCGAGACCAAACCTCACTTCGCGGCGGTCCATGATCACCACCCTGCTTCATCAGAACGACCGGGCGACCGCTCTCGCGACGGCAGCCGCCACGACGTCGGCGCCGGCTCTGCACCGTTCCCGCACCTCTTCCCCGCATGGTCCTTCGCTTCCAGGATCCCCCGAATCGGACGATGCCGCTCCTCTCATGATGAAGAAGGGGCTCAAGCCCATCGCTGAGATTCCCCGGTCCGCGGCTCAACCCATCATCCAAACTACCACCAACACCACCTCACATCAACTGGCTCTCTCCCCCCGAACTACTCGCCGTAACATGCTCGCCTCTGAGCTCACGGTCAGCCTCCGGCAACATCTTCTTTGGGAGCGGAAGCAAAGGTCTCAGACCGCCAACGCCGTCCTGAAGCGAAGACATACCGAAAAGGACCTGAAGAACCTCAAGCAAGACCCCGAAAAGGCACACATGGACCAGGGATCCGCCAGTAAATCGAGCTGGAACGAGTACTACGGTCAAGGATTAGGCGAGTACCACTCCAGAGGATGGTAGACCCCACACGTCACGTCAGACGCATCATTCAGTTCGAGACAGGATTGCGCATCGAGGACTTTCTATACACACATACGTTGGCTCAAAGTTGCTACACCATCTACATCGACTCCAGCATTGATTTACCTCGCACTCTTGGGACCGAATGCAGGCACGCGGCCTACCACAGCATTGCTTATCAGCGATACATTTTATACTATTATGCTTCCTTGACTTTACACATCATGGCTTGCGAGGAACGGCCTATACACCGGGTGGCGTTTTCGACCCTGCTCTTCCTCAGAACATACTCCTCCGACAGGAGCACTGGATGGTAAAGGCTTGTGTCTGGTACGGAAAAGGAGACTGGTGGCAGTTTTTTGTTTTCTATTTTCTTTTTCTATTCTTTGCTAGCGATGGTGGTCTTGCGGCGTCTGCCCTGTTTCTGATGCCGATGTCTGTGACTCGTGGGACGAACTCAAGGAACAGGGCTTCGTGGTGTGCGTTCGGCGTTTTACGGAAGATACCAGGGAACAATGATCTTGGTTGTTTGGTTATTCCCATCTGAGATTTCGGATGGGCTGTACATGTTCATCTTGGTTGCGTGTTACGATAGTTGAAGTCAGCTGGTGAGTTGGGAGAAGATGTTTTGTTGAGGGAATGAAGTGGCGCGGAGCAGAAAAGCGCAAGGGAGTGGGAGAGGGCGGAAGCAGGATTCAATACCTAGCTAGCCAAGGATCTGGTAATAGCAGAGAGAGGGACAGAGGGAGAGAGAAGATTCAGCAGCTCGAGCAAGCTCGACGAGAGCGGCGCGAAAGGAAGCGAAGCCGAATAATCGAAATGAAATCCCTTGTACATGTCAATCATCCCTTCCACGTCTTGCTTGTGTTTGCGCTGTGAGGTGGGGAGCGGGAACGGGGATTGCTCTCTCTTTCTCTCTCGCGGCAGACCGTAAATACTACGTACGGACCACGGATTCTTTCCCAAGTCCAAGTCCAAGTCCAAGTCGAAGTCCAAGTCCAACTCCTCACTAACTAACCCCCACATTACCTCACCTCACCCCACACACCCGGACTCGAGAGCGTGGGCGCGTGGGCGCGTGGGTGCGTGGGATGGGATGGGATGGGATGGGATGGTGTGGTATAGTACGGTTTGGTACGGTGTAAGTACGGTGTGGTCGGTATAAGGTCAGCGGCTCTCTTCCCTCCAGCTAATTCACAGGGTCTCTCTCTCTCTTTTTATATATATTTATATACATATATATATATATATATGTATGTATCTGTATATATGTATCTCCCCCTTTGCCTTTGTGGATGATAGATTTATGGATTTCTGAACGGATGGGCGGATGGGCGGATGAATAAGGTGGTGTGTGTATGTGTGTGTGTATGTATGTATGTATGTATGTATATTTATATTTATATTTATATGTATATGTATATGTGGGGGAGGAGTTGGGGGGAGGGGGGGGGTAATTGGGGGGGGTGTGATCTTGGGAATCTTGAGAAGAATCTGGGGGATTTCGTATTGGTGGGTGAAGATTTACCTACATTGTACTACTACGACGTGTGGATGCGGATGCGGATGCGGATGTAGGGAGGTGTGCGGTATGCTGGCGGTATGCTGGGTGGGATTGGGGGATTGGGGATGGGGGATGGGGGGATGGGGGATGGGGGAGAAGAGGATGGGTGGATGGGTGGATAGGTGGATGGATGTTGGGGTGGGTTGTTGGGGGTTTGCAGTTTGCATAATGGCGGTGAAAGAAAGAGAGAGTGAGTGAGTGAGTGTGTGTGAGAGAGTGAGAGAGTATTC